GAGGGGGCAAGAACACGGGCGACATGCCCTCCATCTCCTGCGTCGACTCGGGCCTCTACTCGTCGAACGGGGCCCTGTCCTCGGACGGGTGCCTCGTCGAGGAGTTCCTCAAGGGCACGGAGCCCGTCGGCGGCTACTTCGCGGTCTCGCTCGACACGACGGGCCACTCCGTCATCAACCGCCAGGACGTCTTCACGTCCGGCGCGCGATCCGCCGCAACGCCTTCGCGAGCGTCGCGGAGAGCGGCGGCGACGGCTCGTCCATGGAGGAGATGCTCGAGGCCATGCCCAACGTCGGCGACATCACCGTGACGCGGTCCGCCGTCAACGAGGGCGGCAACAACGGCGGCTTCACCTGGACGGTGACCTTCCTGCGCGACGCGGGCTCGAACGGCTACGGCCAGTTCGGCGACTGCGAGCAGCGCGGCACCGTCGACAACCTGTGCAACTCGCCCGGCGACGTGCCCAAGTTCTCTCCGGCTTCGACGCGAGCTCGCTCACGGGCGACTGCTCCAAGACCGACGGCGTCCGCGGCGGCCTCGAGTGGCGCGTCGCGTTCCTCGAGAACCCGGGCTCCTACGACGGCTACACGTACCCGCCGGGCGCGGGCAACCTCGACTCCATCACCTACGACACCTCGAACCTCCAGGGCACGACGCCCGCGGTGGTCAACGAGGTCCTGCGCACGGGCTCGACGCCCTTCAGCGGCACGTTCTCCGTCGCCTTCAACGGCGCCAAGACGGAGGAGATGGAGCGGCAGGAGGCCACGGACGAGGTCGAGTACGTGATCGAGAAGCTTGACACCATCGGCGAGATCCGCGTCGACCGCACGGACATGGGCCTCCAGCGCATCCCGGGCGTGGCGGCGACCATCGGCCGCGACGGCTCGTCGGCGTCGCTCGTCTACGACGCGAGCTTCGGCGACTCGTACGACCGCGAGACGTCGCTCATGGACTACCTCGCGCCCGGCGAGGTCTTCCGCCTCGGCGGCGTCGACGGCGGCATCTACAGCTCGCACGCGGGCAAGGTCGACGGCTCGGAGATGCTCGGCTCGCTCCTCGACTACTCGGAGAACGCGCCCGTGCCCAGGAGCGCCTCAGCGCCATGCTCAGCTATGCCCTCGTATGCTTCGAGACGCCTGCTCGGGCCTGCGCCGTGGCGGCATCTGCTCCGTGCTCTTCGCGCTCTACTTCAATGCTGAATCGAGTCGAGGCCTCGCGTCCTCGCGCCGTCGTGTCCCCGCGACGT